GGGGTCTAGCCCATATGCTGTGATGTTCCTGTACACAATGCCAGCTAGCTGGTTGTGCCATTCAGTGTATACTATTCCTGTCTGCCTCTTACACCTTGCCACTATGTGTCAGACTGTCTCTGAGGCTTCTCTGCACAGTCTGCACCTTGGGTCCTGTCTAGTGTGGTAGATCCGTTTCTATGGATCTGGTGCTTAGTGCCTGTTCTTGTACCGCTATGATCATTGCCTCAATGCTGTCTTTTAGTTCAGCCCTTTCCCAATGTCAGCCACCTCAGCTATCTGTCGATGGTACATCCCATGCAGGGGCTTGTCTTGCATTGGGACTTCATCTGCTTGAACTTCCTCCCATGTCTGCTGCTGCCTCAGGCATTCTCTCAGCAACTCATCTTTGGGAGCCATCTTAATGATGTACTCCTGGATGCTCCAGATTTCATCCAGGACAGTGGCTTTGACACTCACCAGACCCTGCCTGCCCTCTTTCCAACTGGTGTAGAGTCTCTGGGTGTTGGACTTGGGGTGGAAACCTCCGTACATTGTGAAGAGCTTCTGGGTTTTCATATTGGCAGCCTCCATGTTCTCCTTTGGCCAGCTCACTATACTGGCAGGATATCTGATGACTGGCAGGGCGTACATGTTGATGGCGTGGATTTTGTTCTTCCCATTGAGCTGGCTCTTCAGGACCTGTCTTATCTTTTGGTGATACTTGGATGTTGCTGTCATGCCTCCTCATCGTGGTTCCCATGTGACTGTGGGATACAAAGGTACTTGTAGCTTGTCTGTATCCTTGCTATGTGGCCTGCTGGTAGTTCCACTCCATCAGTCTTGACTACCTTCCTTCTCTTTATTTATCATCCAGCCAGACTTCACCAGTCCAAATGACATCCCAATGTCCTCACTGAAGATCTGTGTCAGGTGGGTCAGCAAGTCAATGTCTTGTTCCCTCTTAGCGTACAGCTTGATGTTATCCATGCAGAGGAGGTGGCTGATGGTAGTTCCACTCTTAAACTTGTACCTGTATCCAGTCCTTGTGATTATCTGGCTGAGGGGTTCAAGCCTATGCACAGCCTATGAACAGCAGCGGGGACAGTGGATCATCTTTGGTGCATGCCACACTTGATGGCCACTTGTGCAAGCTGTCTTGAGTTCACTTCCAGTGTTGTCTTCCACAGTCCCACTGAGTTCTTGAAGAAGTTCCTTAGTGTCCTGTCGACTTTGTATAGTACTAGGCATTCATAGATCCATGTGTGTGGCATGGAGTCGTAGGCTTTTCTGTACTTAATCCAGGCTGTGCTCCCTTACAGAGCATGGCAGCTGATATGAGGCATAAGATCGTGGATAAACTAGCTACAATCAATTCCACCCTTGTTTAGGGTTTCTTATTGCCTACAACATTTCTCAACCTTGGCAACTTTTAAGATGTCTGGACTTCAACTGCCAGAATTCTGCAACCAGCATTTAAGAAGTCCAGACATCTTAAAGTTGCCAGGTTTGAAAAATACTGCTCTATGGGAATGTGCCTTTCTCAGCTGAAAAAGGGAGATTCCCCAGTACATCAGCAACAGTCCTGACTGAACCCTAGAGCCCTACTTAACAAATAGGGTCTCACACCCAGTAATCTGTGGGGCAGTGCCCCTGGAAACCTCTGAAGTATCTCGAATGACAACTGCCACCCCCACCCCTACGCTGGAGTCTCAGCTGATGTCACATATGAAACCCAGCTGGGCATATCTCAGGGGGAGACTTCCCCCTCTGGACCAAACCAGGTTTTGGTAATACTTGCCAGGTCACCCCTCTCATCTTTGATTAAGTCACAAATGAAGACAGCCTTGTTACAGACTGACCTGGCATTTAGCAGCAATGGCTGAAAGCCCAGGGCTTGAAGATCTGCCAAACAGGGCCTCGAATTAAGATCAGGGGGCTGGAACACACCACTGAAACCACACACCTCTGGTGCGTTCCTCAAAAGTAGCCTGCCCCATCTCCCTCCCATTTTATCTTCCCCTACCCAACACCGTGATGTTCCAACCTGCCTCCACAGACTTCCCCTGTCCCCTCCCCTCCCAGCCATGTCCAAGTAAATTCCCGCACCAGATCCACACAAAACCACACCTAGAGGCCCTTTGAATCCCAGAGGCGTTTCTGCGGGGGGGCGGGGGGGCAAAGTCCCTAAATGCATTGTGTTATTTTACAAATCACAAAGAAAAATATCTTTTTCTTATGAAATAACATTTTATTTACATATGTTAGAGCACCTTATTGAATCAGGTCCCTGAGATAGCTACATTCCCTGTTTGCTAATCATTGCACTGTTTTTATTTTATATGTTTTATGTTACATTTTATTATATATGTTTATTTTATTCAACTTCTATGGCTGCCCAACTCGCAGAAGCAACGGCTTCTCTTCCTGTTTCTAAGCTGAGTTCATTTCTTTTAAACCTTCATAACTGTTCCCGTCTTTTTCCAGCATCTGGGATCAACTGCATTACTTTATGCAGCCCAGACTGAATGAGTTAATATTGCATATTCCTATTTTCATATCCAGCACCATCTAAAGGCTTTGCATCTTTCCATTCCATCAATCCTATTTGCTTTGCACGTAGGACTACAATTCCCTCTTTTTAAGGTTCAGGTAAGCAAGCCTGGCTTCAAATCAGTGCAACTCACTCACAAGAGGAAGACCACCATTTTGCATTTGTGAACAAAAGAATCAAGGGAAAATAAAAATAAAATAAAAACAAAATGATAGAGATGTGCAAAACAACAGTGACTAAAGGCTGCTGATATGCCCGGGGGCCAGAACAGAAAACCTGGGAAGAAAACAGAATCCAGTGGTTGGAAAATGGAACAGGGTGGAATGATGCCCACTAGAAAATTATTTTGGTAATTAGATTAAATGTGCTATATGAACCCAGCCTCAGAAAATAAAAAGCCATATTCAAAGGACTTTGGTCATTCTAACCCAAACGTAGGCTAAAGGAACAGCATGATTGTTGGTCTCCAAGGGACTCAAGAATCCCACCTGTGATGCAGAAACGCTAGAATCAGCAGGCCCAAAACTTCTGGTCCGTTTTTTCCATTATGGGAAAGAACTTTAAGGGAGTAAATTGGGTGCTTAAGGCTCTCAGAGATCTATTGGATGTCTTTGGCACAAAAATTGCACTTCCCAAAGTGGGTGGGTTGGCCACCACATTTGGCCAGGGTAAAGTTCAAAGAATGGGCGGTGTGCCGTGTATGTCCAAAAATAGCTGAATACTCCTTGCTGTGGTCCAAAGATCTGGGCAGAGAAGTTTTCACCAGTGATTTGAAAACCTTTCAGCTGGAGATGACTTAAGGGCTCCAACCAGGGATGAACAAAAAAGTCAAGATCACCAAAAAAAAAAAAAAAAGGGAGGGGGAGAGGCTTCAATTGCATGGTTGCAGCCCTCATTTTGACATTTTTCTCTCCTTTCTCTTTCGTTCCCCTTAGCTCTTGAGTTTGGCCACCTTAGTTCCTTTCAAGGTTGCCTGAGTTGGTTCTCCCTCATTTTGAACCAGCCATCCATGGCCTGCTGGAATAAAGAGAGGCACGTTAAGGATGGTAGCCATAGATGACGGCAAGTGGAAGATGGATCATAAAACAGAGGTCATGGTGCCATGACCCAAACGAGCAACTTATATGTACAGGGAGTCTCCAATTTAAGAAAGAGTTCTGTTCCCAAGGTCTCTCCTTAAGTCAAATTTGCAGTAAGCCAGAACAGTATTATTGTATAATATTGTATAAGTCAGGGTTTCTCAACCTTAGCAACTTTAAGATGTGTGGACTTCAGCTCCCAGGATTCCCTAGCCAGCATGGCTGGCTGGGGAATCTTGGGAGCTGAACTCCACACATCTTAAAGTTACCAAGGTTGAGAAACACTGGCATAAGTAGTATTGTGTAAGGAACTTGAACCATTGTGTATTTAACTCAAATTTTGCTACAATAGGCTCTGTTCTTAACTAGGGGTCGTCCTTAAGCCGGGTGTTCTTAGCCCGAGGACTACCTGTACTTAAGTCAGTCAGGTTTCCTGGCTGAGTATGGACTTGAAACTGTCTCCCTGGATTTAGTACAACATTCTAACTTTGGACTTTGAACTCTGGAGTGTATCCACATAGGAGGAAGAGATTTGGAAGCCAATCATATGAGCAAACCTGAGAGGGTTAAGAATATAGTATAGTAGAACGTTGGATTAGGACTGGAAAAACGTAGGTTTAGGGCCACCGAATTAATCAAGTATATTTTAGGCTAGCTGGATTGTGGAAACCCAGCTTGGGTTGGCTCAGGGGCCATTCACACCCAGGATGTTGGGTTAATTCCATGAGCTGTTAATTAATAAGCCATTATTAAGCCTGTCATGCAAATACAGGCATTATCTTTCAGCCTAACCTAAGTACAGTAGTGTCATTCTAGACCAGGAGAGCTCCTGGTTCAGGAACTTTACTCCACAGCCTCCAAAAAGGTATTTTCCAGACCAACATGGAAAAACTCAGAAATGAACGTGGGATGTTACAAAGTAGGTCCCAGGGCAAGCATGCAAATCAGATATTTTACCACTGAGATAAATAAATGGATCATTAAACAAATCAACTCAGAGTTCTCACTTGAGGCTCAAATTATCCTACTTTGGACACCTTATGTGAAGACCCAGCTCTCTGGACAAGGCTCTGATGCTGAGAAAGGAGGAAGGGAAGGGAAGAGGAGGAGGACCAGCACCAAGAAGGATGGACTCAGCTAGTGGCAATGGGGGCACCACTGGGAGAGCTGAAGGACCAGGTTAGGGACAGATCCTCCTGGAGAAAATCCATCTATGTGGTTGCTAAGAGTTGACCTCAACATGATGACACATAATCAATCAATCGACCAATCAATCAATCTATCACCACTGAGCTACAGTCCTTTCCTATCTCCTGCTACCCAAGTTCTTTTAATTCAGAGATGGTGGCACTTCCTCCATGGAGTTTCTCTCTGCAGCCTTTAAAGCCTCCTTGATCACTAATTCGATTAACAGAATAAAATCCCTCTTGTGACTTTCACCCATATTTTACAGTTCCCATTTTTGTTGGGAACCCGCTTGCTTTATGTGCGAGCCCCTGCCACATCGTTCAAGGGCCAGATCAATCAAAACAGCTCATGCCCGTTGGATGTCCTTTTGGGACGACACCTGTGCCCATCTTCCCTTTGCATGAGAGGCCATCGCTCACCTGTGTGAACTCGCATGTGCCTGACCAGATTTTCTCGCCGAGTGAAGCTCCGCCCACAAACCATGCACAGGTGGGCCTTTTCCCCTGTGTGGAGTTTATGGTGTCGGAAAAGGTTGGTTTTGCGCGTGAAGGTCTGCCCGCACTCAGTGCATATATGTAGCTTTGGTCCACTGGGGATACTCGGATACTTTTTAGTGGCTAATTTCAGAGAGCGATGCTGCTGAGATACCTTTATCGCCTGTGGCTGAAGGGTTGCAATTTCAGGGTGTTCACCCCAGGAACTCACAACAGATTTTCTCTTCCAGTTTTCCTCAGGAATTTTGACCTGTTTCTCTGGTTCACTTGGATCTCCAAGGCTAACTTCAAACTCTGATCTTCTCACATTTAGCGCATCCACCAGCTCATCGCTTCCTGGAACTAAGGAGGAATATGGGAAAAAATAGAAAAGAAACTCTCCAAAAGAAAAGGAGCTGTTCATCTGCTGAATCAAAATGGGCTCTTATTGGCATGAGGCATAACACAAGACTTGTACAGTTTTCTTCAACTTGCAAATTCCATTGTGGTTGGACTACAGTGCCCATCAACCCCAATCACCACAGCCCAAATAGCAAGGAATCAGTATTACAGTGATCCAAATCTGAGCCCCAACCTCAGATGCAGAAAGGGTGGAAATTGAACCCTTCTGTGGCAACTTTTGATCGTCAACACATCACAAAAAGATGTCATATAAATTATGGAGATTGGAATACTATAGTTGGAAGTCAAATAGCATCTGGAATACCAAGAAAATTGATCTTTGGAATTATCAAAGGAAGCAGAAGAAATGGCAGTAGAGTTCTGCCAAGAAAATTCAATGTTTACAGCAAATGCTTTCTTCTAACAACCTAAGAGATAACTCTATATAGGAGTAACACCAGATGGACCTCACCAAAATCAAATTTACTACGCAAGCAAAGGAGAAGCTCTATTCAATCAGCGGAAAGAAGACGTGGTGCTGACTGTAGCTCAGATTGCAAACTCCTTCTTGCAAGATTACAAGTTAAGCTAAAGAGAACAAACAAAATCACAAGAGCAAGAAGATACATCCTCAGCAATATTCCATAGGAGATTATACAGTGAAGGTAAAGAATAGATGTAGTGGATTAGATTGGACAAATAATGTGCCTGAAAAACTGGACATTTATGTCAATTGTGTCCCTTCCTGGACCGGGAGGCCATGCTCACAGTCACTCATGCCTTGGTCACTTCCCAGTTGGACTACTGCAATGCACTCTACACGGGGCTGCCCTTGAAGACCATCCAGAGTTACAACTGGTCCGAAATGTGGCAGCTCACGCAATATTGGGTGCTTCTTGGTTTGTTGTTACAGCATTGCTGCGTAAGCTAGACATGTTAAACAGGCCCTAGAAAATATCGCTAACAACAAATGATGAAATACCAGCAGAACTGTTAAAAAGCCAGCTGGGGAATTCTGGGAGTTGAAGTCCATGGATATTAAAGTTGTCAATGTTGGGAAACACTGGACAAAGGTCAAACATTCACAGGGATGGTAACTGTAGCCATGAAGGACAGCATCTTGGGGAACAGTCCATAGCTTCAAACCCATAGTAAGAGGATTCTGACAAAGTTTCTCCCAAGGTTCTCTGGAATAGCCAGGTTGGCTTTCCAAAAATCAGTAGGGAGGGAGCCCCTATGACCTTGGGAGGCATGCTGTTCTAGAGAAGGGGGGCAAATCTGAGGAGACTCATCCCCAGGATCCTTGCAGATGTGGGATGGATCTCACTTCCCAGGCCTATTGGGCAAACATAAGCCACTGGAGAAGGTGGTCCCGCAGATAACCAAGTCCTAAGCTACGTAAGACTTTGAAGGTGACAACCAACCCCATGAGTTGCATATGGAAGGAAACTAGTAACCAGAGAAGGTCATGCATTGGAGGTGTTACAAGAGAAAACCTCAAAGCTCCCATCATTTTGGGGCTCGATAGATGCTACCTAGGAAAATCAGCTGTGCCACAGGACCTTGGTTGATATGGTGGTCTCGCCAAAGTTTTCAAGGATGATGTACGGGTCCACCTAAAATAAAAGGTTGGGAACCACCAGCTACAAAATAATTGCCTGAACACAGGGAATACGAGGAAGGGTGATTTCATACTCAACGAGCCAGCAAGCTTGCAGTTCTCCTGCTTGATTTCTCTGTAGACCTCTGAACAAGCATGCTCTGTTCTGCCAAAGCTCATGGCCATGTCTGTGGATGTTCTCAGCATCTAGGACAGCAAAAGGGTTATTGTTAAAGAAATGGCTGGAGCCTAGGGAGACCTATCCCATTTTTATCAAGGTCTCAGGGCCCCTTGGAATGGCATAACTCAGCTCACCTGTTCCTCTCCTTCCTCAACCTTCTGCTGTCCCATCAGGAAATCCTCAGCCAGGGCCACCGCTTGGTAGCAGGACTTGGGGCTACCTTCTTTGACCCAGCTCTGCAGTGCCAGTGGGAGGACAGCCAGGAACTGCTCCAGGACCAGCAACTCCAGGATCTGCTCCTTGGTGCAATTCTCTGGGGTCAGCCACTGGTGGCAAAGCTCCTGGAGTTGGTTATAAGCATCTCGGGGCCCCTTAGCCTCCTGATAGCAGAACAGCCGGAAACGCTGGCGTCGGATCTCGGTGTCAGCTACATCTTTCCTCAGGATTTCTGAAGTTGCTATTCCCTTATCTCCCATCTCCGAAGATTCTTGGTTGGGAAAGGCCTTTGGGACTCCTTCTTCAAGACCCAACCAAGGTTCATCAGCCTCTTCTCCATGGGGCCTTCTGGAAAAATCAGCTGTCGTTTTGGAAGGAACCAGCGAGGACTTGGTGACTTCCCACCGCATGGTTTTCGGCAACTCCTCATTTTCCCAGTTCTCCTGCCACTGGACCTCCCAGGTGTGGGCCAATCCATCCTCAGCTTCTGATCTCATCTGTCCCGGCATAGCCCAACTTGCACACTCCCTGATTGTCCCCAGCGGGGCAGGGCAGAGAGTGCTGCTTCCATTTTTTAACACTTCCTCTTCCACAGGCTCGATATACAGTCCTGCATCAACCTCTGCCTTCTGCTTGGTGGACATTTCTTCTCTCGTGAGAGGCCTATGCCAATTCTGCCCACGTATGCCTAAAACCTTGCTTGCTTTCTGCAGGAGAGCATCAGGACCAATGTCCAGCCTCCAACGGTGCACTGGAATTCATTCCTTTCACCCCACTAATTTCAAAAGGACTGAAGTTCCCCTAGGTGCAGGTGACTTTAGAGAAATTAGTCTTGGCAGAGGATCTGGTAACAAAGTGCCAAAAAGAGGAAGAGGAGGAGGAAGAGGAGACAAAGCCAACATTAACTTTTTTTTAACTTCTTTTTTCATGCTTGCAAATGGGGTTGGGTGGTTTGGTTTTCACTGTGCCACTAATTAATTCCTGTGCAACCCAAATTTGAAGGGCTTTGTGTACGTGATCTGATTGGAAATGGGCATTATGATAATAATTATTATTGTGATTATATTTTTATCCCACCTTTTTTACGTATAACTCAAGGCAGCAAACATACCTAATCCTCCTTCCTCCTCCTATTTTCCCCACCACAACAACCCTGTGAGGTGGAATGGGCTGCGAGAGAGGGACTGGCCCAAAGTCCCCCAGCCGGCTTTCATGCCTAAGGCAGGCCTAGAACTCACCGTCTCCTGCTTTCTAGGCCAGCACCTGAACCACTAGATCAAACTGGGATGGCTAGTTGGAGAATGGCAAAGAGAGAAGATACAAGCTGTGTCCTTGGGACAAAGATGTTGGTGGCTGTGACTTCACTGTCTTGCATGGTCAGTGTCATCACTGCAGTCAAGCTCCCAGTGTTACTCTCTTGCAGTTCCCAGGAGGATGCTCAGAACTGTGGCTGGATGGAAAACCTTACCTCCTATAAGGTAGATCCATATTATTCCCACCCATACTACAGATGTGGACAACTGTGGCTCAGAGCAAATGACTTCCTAAACATATTTCAGTAAGTTCAGGAAAGATGAGATTCAGCCCAGAGACCTCCTGATTCTCGGTTCACAGTGTAAGGAAGTAAGGAAGTACTGTAAGCTTACTTTCTGGGGAAATGTTCAGAATCACAGCTAATTATGCTGCTCTTTTGTAAACGAAGTTGTGCTATGGTTAATGGAAGCTCTCCCCTGACAAGCAGGAAAGAGAGCCAGTTTGGTCTAGCAGTTAGGGCCCCAGGCTAGAAACCAGGAGACTGTGAGTTCTAGGCCTGCCTTAGGCACCAAAGCTGGCTGGGTGACTTTGGCCCAGTCCCTCTCTCTCAGCCCAGCCCACCTCAGAGGGTGGTTGCTGTGGGGAAATTAGGAGGAAGGAGTATTAGGTATGTTTGCTGTTGTTTGAGTTACTTATAAAAATAATAAAGGTGGGATGAAAAAAAGAGGGACAGATCAGAAAAACATGCTGCAGATTTTGCAAAGCAGCTGGTGCATTTGCTACGGCAAAAATGAAGGAATGCGTGAACACACACACACAGTATAAACACAGTGACCCTACGTCCTTTATTATAAAAGACAGTGCTTTATTTCAGAAAGCTGCCCTCTAGATTAATTTCATTATTTATTTTCTCGGTTTTGCTCTTGAATTTTCCTTTGTAAAGCAAAGTTATAAACAGAAACATTTTTTTTTATCCTTACCAACCTCTTTCAGATTTGCCCCTTTTTCAGGTTTGTCCTTCATTTTTTCCAAGAAAATATGGCCACTGTAACTAGAAAGGAAGCAGTGCATGAATAAATTGAGGAGGGGGAAGGTCAAGAAAGCTGAGCTGTACTAGATGGCAAAATTGACTTGTCTGATTAGGAAAAGGACAATCACTACATTTCTTAGTGACTGGAAATCCCTTATGGACTTTTTACTGAAGAAAGAAAAAAAATGAACTTCTAATTTATGGGTTTGAGGATTAGAAAGGGTAGACTATGGAGAGAAGGAAATTATGATGTAATCTTAGAGAGACAGGATAAAATATAAATGCATTTATAACCGCTGTTAAGAAGATCGGAAGCCGCTTCTCTATCATCTTTTATTTTCTTTCTCTTTCTTTTCACTTTTCTTTCTTATCTATTCACTATTTTTCTTTATTTTCTTTATTTCTTTTCTATACTTTGTACTGTTTTTATCTTGTTAAAGATTTCTTTAATACAAATTATTTAAAAAAAGAAAGCTGAGATGTATGCAATGCTTTCCTTCTCCTCCCCCTAATCTGAACCCGGGAGTTGAGAAAACAGCTGCCTAAATCTTAGAAATTCCCTTTTCCCCTCTCTGCTCAGCCCCAGTTCTCTTTTTCCGGTTTTTTTTCCCTGCGGCCCCTTCCCCCAGCAGATAAGCCTGCTTGTAGCTTACCATTCCCACGTGCGTGCCAGCAAAACATTAATTCCCCTTTTAAGAAATTCAAAGTCCTCTTTCTAGGAAAGGGGAGGAGCTTCGAAGCGGCGTGGAGGACGGGAGGACCATCCTGGCTGCAAAGACCGCCCCCTCCCATTCTTTGACCTTCCTAGGAATTCAGACTCTATCAGTTTAACTCTTAGATTGCCAAAGCCTTGGGACCCTTGTTCTGGATCAATGTTTCTCAACCTCGGCAACTTGACTTCAACTCCCAGAAGCTGGCTGGGGAATTCTGGGAGTTGAAGTCCACACATCTTAAAGTTGCCGATGTTGAGAAACACTGTTCTGGATTGTTTTTACTGTATTTTTCAAAGGAAAAATTTCCATGAGTGATCTAGTTCCTTCTACATTTCCCACTATTCCTTGTAACTAATGGGATAATATTGAATTATAGCAAATTGTAAGTAAAGTACAGCACATCTGATTATAACTGGTGAAAAGGGGAAGCTGTTGGGTGAGGCTCAACACTTGGTGACTTCATGGAGACTCTTCTGAGCAGCAATACGGAAACCATTCCAAGATATTTTGATACCCCAATATAGCCTAGAGCCCTGGGATTTTCTAGTGGTCTCCTTTCCTAATTCTAGCCAAGCCCAATCCTTTAGCTGAGTGTTTCTCAAACTTGGCAACTTTAAGATGTGGCTGGCTGGGGAATTCTGGGAGTTGAAGTCCACACATCTTAAAGTTGCCAAGTTTGAGAACACTGATTTAGCTTATTGAGACCAGCCAATGTCCGTGAGATTTTGCCACCCCAAAAAGATACCCTATGATTGGACATTCACAAGAAGAAAGAATAGCTTTTTCTTGACCGAAAGAAAACAGCAACATCTGAAAACCTGGTTAGGTCTTTGCTAGGCCAACTCAAACCTCCCAAAACATTGTGCAAAGCTTCACATTCTCCAGAGATTTTCATGAATCCATGTGGCCCATAAAGGAAAAGTAGGGAATGGCTCATGCAATCCAGCCAGAGCTATCTTGGAATATTCTGCTAAATCCAAGCGTCTCTGCCATAGTATCCCTCCTTCCATTTCTTTAAACCAAATCTTAAACTTTTGTCCAAGCCCAGAACTGCTGCTCCTTCAGTTTACAGAAACCTGTATTTAAAGATTTTTGTTCCTGTTATTATTTGTTTTACTGTACCAAACTGAGTCACAGGAAAAAAAATGGATCCATTCAACAGTATTAACAATGTAGTTGTCAGGGAGGTTGGGAGATGAATGGAAAAGGGAGCAGACATAAGCAATCAAGAGGCAAGAAGGGGGTCTCTCCCAAATGACAACTCAGCCCTGGTGAGAAGAAAGCTGGGAAGGAGCGTTGCAAATAATTCCGAGAGACTCCACCTTGGTGAACTTGCTAGAAATGGGGCTGAGACATTCCTCTAGCAGTTTCCAAGGTTTTGTATTTCCCCCAGGTGAACAGCAAAGATCCCTTCCTGGAATCTGTGTAGATCTTGCCCAGCAATGTGGGGCTTGACAGTAGTCCAACACCAAAAGTAAGAAAAGGGGAGAAAAAAGATTAGAAGAGAATTTAAGCAGATTTGACAACATTAATTCTATTAGTCAAATATGTTACTGAGACTCACAGCATTCCCTTGATCTACCAGTCTAGTCACTCTGTTTATTTATTTAAAACCTATATATAGGTTTATATATATATAAACAATGAAATCATTTTAAAAACTGAGATCTTGAAGTTTCACAAGACCTCTCATGAAATTTGAGTCATCTCATCCCTCCAAGACCTCATGTGGTTTTTGAAGAGAAGACTCAGATTTCAAGGTATTGATTTTTTCCTTAATTTAAGAAAAAGGGATCCATATATGTGCTGTAAAGATGTTGGGGATGCCTTATCCCTTCTGAGCAGAATGCTCTTGACCTTGGGAACAGTATTCCCTGAAAATCCAGTCTGATCTTAAACGGAAAGTCTTTACTCTTCTGCGTAAGTCCAGATAAATGTATTATTTCTCCACTTCCCCGTGAATGCTAATTAATATTTCTTTGCACAGAAAAAAATGCCATCACAATAATTTGACTGTTGAAGAAAGCAAGAACATTAGAGAAAGTTTTCCTCTTTTTGTTGGAGGAATTCCCGTACTGGACATACTACACAATGGAATCAACATGTTGCCTCTCAGACATGATTCAACGTTCTTATTAGGTTTATTCTAATCAGCTTCTACGAGGGGTAACTAATTTCTACCTTCCCGCTCCATTGGAAAGGATTGTGCCCATAACTTGCAACAGAGAACCAGATCAAAACTATTTGCTGGCAGGGCTTAGTAAAGGGCTGAAAGAATCTAGCGTAACTCAGCAAGAAAGTAGGAATGCAGAGAATGTAAACAGGCATTAGTTTACATTAATGATAATTAGGTAGTCCCTAGTTTAAGAACGAGTTCCATTCTGAAGGTCTGTCCTTAAGTCAAATTTGTATGTAAGCTGCAACAGTATTATTGTATAATACTGTATAAGTAGTGTTGTGTAACGAACTCCAACCACTATGTATTTAACTCGAATTTTGCTACAGTAGACTCCGTTCGTAACTAGGGGACTACCTGTAAACATAACTGAACAAAAGTTAAGTTTGCTATATACTTGATGGCTAGAGTAAGGAATTGCCAAGTAAAAAAATCATTAAGTTTTTACTTAGAGCAGCCAAATCAGTCATTACTTAAAACAATGGAAATGTCTGGGTAATATTTCAGAGAACAAATGGCATGATAAGATCTGGTCTATAGTTTTACTTGAAAAAGTCTCTGATAAAATCCATTGTATGACAAGCCAAAATAGTGAATCATTATTTTAGAATAGTATTTCTCAACCTCAGCAACTTTAAGATGTGTGGACTCCAACTCCCAGAATTCCCAAGCCAGCCAGTTGGAGCCTGCGCATCTTAAAGTTGCTGAAGTTGAGAAACACTGTTTTAGAAGGAATGGTGCAATGTAGTTGTTTATATAAGTGATAAGCATCCGGGAAACAATTTGTATCCAACATGATGGACATGGTACCAGCATATGTAAATTTTTGAAATTCAAATGAGAATTTAAATTTAAAAAAAGGATTAAAAAGCGTTACATGTCAACACAGAAGGAAGCATCTGCAAGATCCGACGCTTGGATGAAAGCCGTGTTGCACCATTGCAGCTCAAGCTGTCCATTTCTTATGTGTATATGTCCAGGCACATGTGCAAAAGGGGTGGAGCTTATGTCACAGTGGCACAATATGTTTTCATCATTTCCCCCTCCACACATACACTATGGATGCCTCTGCATGGACACTATGAGGGTTAGAGGTAAGATAAAAACCTAGTATTTTCTTCTGAGAGCTACATTGCAAGAGAACCCCAAGGGTTTACCTACAACTGGTTATACATTCCAATCATTACCGTTCACTCAAAAACTTGCCAACTCTTTTATATAGGTACCATATTCTGGAATACAGGTAGTCCTCGTTTAGCGACCACAATTGGGACCCGCAGCTCCATCGTTAAGCGAAGTGGTCGCTAAGTGGAAATCATGTAACCATGACAGGGCTTCCCTTTTTCCCTGCCCTTTGGAACGCTCACCCCAGTGCTGGGATAATTAGCAAGAAGGGAATTAAGGTGTGTCTTCACATTCATTGGAGAGGAAGGGATTACAAGAGTGTAAGCAGGCACACAATGGGGAATGCACATCAAAAGCAATGCGCTGGCACTGGCAGCCCCAAGCATGCTACGTAAACAGCACTGGGGGGGGGAGGGGGGAGAAAAAAAAACACGATTTCTGTAGGCAAGTTCTGGACCTAACCCAGTGTTGTCCAAACTTGGCCACTTTAAGATGAGTGGACT